TCTGAGAAATAAAGAGCATTTTAGAGCTCATAATGGAACCTGAAATTGATCTGACGACAGAAAAACTCCAAGAACTCTCAAATGAAGAATACCGAGAAACTCAGCGAAATGTGTTATCTTTTGGAAAAGAGGAAGACGAAAGAGGACCAATGTCGACATCTGCTACTAAAGATCTTTTGAAGGAGTGGGAGGATGTTATATCATCCAAGTGGCAACCAAAGCAGAATAAGGTTCATTGGGTTGGGGATCTCTACAATTACAATACTATTAATTACTTCCGAAAAATCCTGAAGAAAAGAGAAAAGCAATCGACATTGGACAGATTGTTTAACCCCCACAAACGGATAAAACATGACTAATAAAAATGCAAGACAGCATATGTATGTATTTTTACTATTACATGTAAATAAATGTAGTAAAAAAAGTATATATTTTTTTTTATTTTTTGGAGTCTTCGGAACGAATTAATCAAATTCCCATACAAACCTATGGTAAATCGATAATCAGTTAACGAACAATTCGGATAATGAACAAAGTCTTGGAACGGATTATGTTCGTTAACCGATCACCCACTGTATATTCAATGAAAAATTTTTCTGAACAACTACTTGATTTCAAGAATTTATAAAATTTAGTTTAAATAAAATTAATATTTGATTTGCTTTTGTGCAGCAAGCTATCAGATTGGTTTGACCAACCTTGTTTACAGATAGTATTTGATTATTTAACACAGATTGGTATTAAAACTGAGAAATTAAACTGGATATATTAAAAATTTGTATATGGATAAAAGTATAATTGATAAGATTTAAAAAATTAAATAAATAAACTGGTATAAAATTGAGTTTAAAAAACCTTTTTTTAAAAAAAGGTAAAATTATAAGTATAAAAACAAAACCATAGACTCATGTATAGGCCCCAAACTAGCTGAATTATATATGATAAAAATTGATCAAGTAATTAGAAATCTTCATGGGATAGTAGCATATAATAGGTAAGTAGATGATTGTTTCATTGTTTATGATAATACTTAACCAACCCTTATATAATACTTGACTATGCCTATAGTATAGCGAAATTGAAATAGAAAATAATGGCACTTTACCTTGTTTGGATATCAAAGTCTCATAGAATGTTAAGTTTCAAAAAATACATTAGTAGAAAAATTGAATACATTTATAGAAGGTTTTATGTTTTTTTAGTTGTTTAAAACCTTCTAATTTCACCTTTTTTTTAAAAAAAATGTTTTTTAAACCCAACTTTGTATCAGTTTATTTATTATATTTATTTAATTTCTTAAATCTTATTAATTGTATTTTTATCCATATACATGTTTTTTAATATATCCAGTTTAACTTCTCAGTTTTAATACTAATCTGTGTTAATTAATTGAATACTATCTGTAAAAAAGAACTGAAGTGGGGTTAATAAAACTGCAATGCATTTCCAAATACAATAATAAAGTCTACATATGCAATTAATGTATTCCAGTTACAAAAAAATAAGCCAAAATTTAGGCTTCATAAATCAAAATATTATAGAGAATATTTTACAATATATTATAATATATATTACAATATATTATAGAGAATATTTGAGTAAAATATGATGTAAATCAACAATAGAACATTCTATATAAAATAAAAAATTGTTGGAAGATGCAGTTCAGATCATCAACTTAGAATATCAATATTTTCTATTGCTGTAAAATAAAGTTAATTAAAAATATAATTTTATCATTTTTACTTAAAGTAAAAATGATAAAATTATATCTTTGGCTACCTAAAAAACAGTGTGGATTTCTATTTTTACAATATGGTGCCAAGAATTTTGCAATTTAGAGAGATAATTTTATTACTTAATCTTTCAAATAAATAAAATAATTCAATTCTTATATTTACTTAATTCAGATTAAATATTCCATTTTTTCATACATACTTTTTATTTCATATGCTCTAGAATTCTTATAACAATCTTATGATTTTTAATTTTAGAAAGATGTTCCTAAAATAGACTATGGTAATAATATTTATTGAAGACTATAATAATAAATTATTTAGTATTAAAAAAATATTTTTCAGACTGGTAAAGAACATGTTTTTTTACAAGCTGAAGATAGATTGTTTATTAGTGCTGGAGCTGACATTGTACATCAGCTTCATTCCCCTCCCTACCATTCATTTGCTGATTATCATTCCAAGTTTAATGAATATAATGATATTGAAAATGGATATCAAGAGGAAAGGTCAGAAAATATATGGAATAACACTCAGATGACTATAGGAAACAAACAATGGATAATAGTGCCAGTAAGTTTTTGGATAAAGATAAATTATTTTTGTACATTTATAAGCATATTAGTATTTTATAAAAATGTACTTTTAGAATAATTCATCTTATTTTAATTATTACATTTAATAGTTTGATAATTAAGTCTACATATATAATGTACAAAAATATATATACTAAATCAAATCAGTACAGTAAAACTGGTCCAAAACAGAAACCTGCATAAATGAAAAACTTCAAACTGGGCAATTTTCTGATTAAATTTTACTGTAAGCTGTAAACCTGTTCAACAGGGAAACGGAAAAGTTTTTGATTATAAAGAATATAAGTTAACTTGAATAAAGAAGAAAATTAAAATTTCATTTGTAGCAAAATCATCTCCAGGTATAATTTTCACAATAGAGCATGAAAAACTGTATTCCAAGAATGTGTTTAAATCTATTCAGTGAAATGGAGATAACATGATGAAGGATTTACAGATTAAAGCTATCTGTTAATTTTAGTCTTTACCTGGAATTAACCAAGAGGGATTTTTTTATTGACTCTTTCTTCCATATGGACACTAAGAGGGTTTTTTTCTGTACCCATCGTGAGTTCATCTAGGTTCACAATGGGAATGACTGGATGTTGAGGGATGAGGTTGACACATTAGGAAAAGTTTCTGGCTAATTGCTCACCCAGATTCAATCCCTATTCTCTAGAGCAGTAGACTGATGCTTTACTGTTTTTATCATTTAGTAGTCCCAAGAGTGCAACACAACACTAGTTCTTGGTTCTGAAATCAGTTTTGTTCAACATTGTGTGAGCTCATAAGGATCACATCTGAGAACTCAATCTAGGTATTCAAATACAGTAATACCTTTGTTTTTGTTGACTTCGGTTATTGTCAGTTTTGGTTTTTGTAGATTTTTTTCACAGAAAATTTGTCTGTTTTCGTCAACGTGCCTACATGACCGCCTGCTAATTTTGTGAAAACATAGGGTGACTGACACGTGTTCCTGCTTAGTGTGACGTTGTTTCTCCTTCTGTGAGCATTACCCTGCATGTCTAGCAAAACAGTTCCATTGCTTTTCTTTTCTTTTAGCTCCATCATGGAACCAAAATAATTTTCAGAATGAGCAGTCCTTTGAATGCCATGTTAAATGCTATGTTAAACGTTCATGTATTCTTTACATTAGTCTTTTATATTCATTTTTTATTAATTTCTTATTGTTTTTAATATTAAACACAATATTTACATACTATAAAATATTTTTGGTATGTATTTTGGAGTGTCTAGAACAAATTAATTGGATTTCCATTGATTCATATGGAAATAATTGTCTCAGTTTTTGTCAATTTTGGGTTTCATCGGCTGTTTTCAGATGGATTATCAGCGAAAACCAAGGTATCACTGTATTCAAATCCAAGTATTTGAAAACCTAGATGAAGTTCTCAGGAACAACATGAACTTTTTAGAATCAAATAATTCTTCAAATAATTGCATTCAAATACTTCCATCCTTATTTGGAATCACTTTGGATTCATTTGAATAAATGGATGTAAAATGTAATAAATTGTTTTTTTGTTTGTAATAAGAGATATTTTACTGTAAAAATGAAGATAACTGTGATTTTATCTGATAAAATTTAAAGATTAAAAGAAACCTGTTCAAAATGGAAAATTTATTATATTATATGCCCTGTGATTCTAGTCTATACAGGTTTTACTGTCTCCACTTTACTGATGCTGTATTCAATTAAATTATTTCTCTAGATAATTGTTTTAGGAAATTTTTTTGTTTCTACAATAAGAAATGTACAAATGCATAAAAGTTTTTATACATTTATAGATTTCTTATTCTATAACAATACAGATTCTTCCGAAAGCTAATCTTTTCTAATAAGTCACAACAGATCAACTTCTTCACTTTTTTTAACCAATTTTTTATTTTTTAAACAAACGTTTTTGTCTTTCTTAGTGGTCTACCTCAGGTTATTGAATGAAAAAATGAAAAAAATTAGAAGATAAAAAACTAAGCATTCTAAATCATAACCTGTTTTTCCATTTGATAACCTGAAGCAGGTCACTAAAGAAGGCTGAAAATGTTTGTTTTAAAATAACAAATTTGCAGGAAAAGGTGAAGAAGGTGATCTATTGTGGCTTATTATTGTAGATCATTTATAATACAAATAATAGTCACTTGATTAAAACAAATTATTGTATAATGATAACTTCAGAAACATGAAACTTATTTTTAAAGTAAAATATATTTTTTCAATAAAATCTGTTAAAATTAATGTTCAATTTATACTGGAGGGTAATTTTGTTTATAAAGTCTATTAATATTGCTACTTAATTTTAAAAATTTAATAAAAATTAATTAACTAAGGATTCAAATTATAATTCTGAATGATTATAATTATTATTTTAGAATCAGTAATGTATTCCAGAACAAAATGAGAATTAAAGTATTTTTTTTAAAATTTATACATTTATAAAATCTTTAAAAATTTCAAAAAATAAGATTTAGATATGATATGATTGAAGCTAGATTTTGCAATGTAGATTTTGAGACAGTGTAATAATTTTAGTGATATAATTTTGTAATGCATTATCGTATATTCAATTTTTTTTTATTTATACATAAATTTACATTTAAAACCAGATATTTTAAATAGATTGGAAAAAACTGAATTATATTTGAAGAAATTTTAAATATTATAGAAATTGAAAATTTAAATATCAGATATCTGATATTTAATATTTCAGATTTGAATATAATCAAATCTGAAATATTATATTTTAAAAACTGAAAAATTAAAGAATTTGTTAGTTTAATTGAAGCAGTGTTAGCAAAGCCTCTTTTATGTGGCTTACAGAATTGTGTTTGATCAATTTTGATTAAACTTTGCCATTTTCATTAATTGCAATGAGGAATCAAAAAATGTAATAAAAAACTGGGATCCATGACTTTGTTTTTGAGATATTGGGCTGTTTCACAAGTGAACATGACAAAGCTATATTGCATGAATTGCGCAACTTTATCATATAATGTTTCACAGTCAATAGCATATCATCCATGGGCTTATAGAATCAAGTTCATTCTCAAAATTTAATGGGCCAATTTTGATAAAACTTTTTAATTTTCCATTAATTGCAATGAGGAATCCAGAAATGTAATGTTGATCCATTTAAATGTAAAAACTTCAGCAACAAGTTCAATATTTTTCCAGCAAAATTTAAAATTTCGGTGGAGCCATCTGTTATGATATTTCATTTTTAAAAAACTTTTTATATTTTTAATTATTATAAAATGGCAAAAAGCTTAATTTTCATGGTATGAATAGGTTTTATAAAAAGTTCTAAATGCTAATAACAGGTAAAATCATCATTAAATCTAACCATATTTGAGATATAACAAACAAAGCCCTTTCCACTCTATCAATCTTAAACCATCAAAATTTAATAGCATCAATCCCCCTAATACACAAACCTCTCTGCAAAATTTCAGAAATTTTTGACAATGCCATGAGGATGAACAAAACCATGCCAAACACACATGCATGCAGATGTTAATGATCCCACACCATTAACATCCATACAGATAAAAATCTCTAAATATTTCTCAACATTTTAAGGTAAAAAAATGTAAAAATCTTGGGGGAGATCATTTTTTGACCTATTGCCATACTTTCCCTCTGTTATATATAACAGGACTAGCAAAGTAAAAATAGGAGTCCATGAATAATTATGAACCTCATTGGCTTTTCCATTATAATTACAGGTTCATCACACACTCAGTTTCAATTTTTCATTCAATTCACACAAAATTTCCCAGAATGAATTTTGCCTTGTTCAGAAGTCCTTCCTCAGCCAGGTTACTTAATATATACAGCATTACTGCAATAAAAACAGCATTGCTTGCACTTAAAGAAAAGTAAGCATGAAAAATGAACAAAATACAAGAACAAAGCAATCAATGGTGATTACTTTGTTATTGGATCAGGCCAGTGCAAGGATGGTGTCTGCTGTTGCCAGTAGGTACAAGGATAGCCTCTTTTGTGCCTAACAAGTGCAGGAATTTCTTCTTTCTTTCTGGCTCTGTTTCAATTCTGTTGTGATACGAGAAAGTCGTGTGATGTCCTAATAACATTTATTTTTATAAGATTAATTTTAATTTCCTTTGGTTATTGTTGTATATATTAATATGTTGATGTATTTCTTTCATTGGTTAAATATACCTAATAATATTTATTAATTTTACTATAAATTTAATTTATTATATTTCTTCCTAATTTAAAGTATTAAATTTTTAGCCAGGCATAATTAAATTTTCAACATTGATATTTTTAGATTCCTTATTCATATCTGGGAAATAACTGGCCCATAAGAGTAAGTTCTATATATTTAATAATTTACATTTTTTGCTTAAAATTTCTGATATGATTTTATATAAATTGTTTTTAAAAGTATTAGAAATTAACTTGTATGTATACATATAATTATCATTATTAATTTTCCTAATTATTGAACTTTGCAATATTGTAGCATGCATGCATTGATCCATCTGGTCAGCATGTTGCTGTTGCAGGTAGAAGTGGGTTAGCTCATTATTCTCTTATATATAGAAGGTGGAAACTGTTTGGGAATGAAACACAAGTTAGTATTATTTATACTTTTTTTGGTACTTATTTACATACTGTATATATATTTTTTTTTATAAATTGAAAATGAACTTTTGTAGTAGACTTTTTATCAAAATTAAATAAAATTAAATCTTTATAAAAAAACTTATTAAAATGTATTAATTAGAATATAAATATACAAAATTTATTTTATTTTTAATATATTACTTTTTAATAACATTTTTAAGGAACAGGATTTTGTTGTGATGGGAGGTTTACTTTGGTGGGAAGATTATCTTATACTTGGATGTTATAATTTGAGAGATATGAGAGATGAGGTATTGTTCATTGTTCTTATTTCAAAGAACTATAAAGCTTAATAAATTTAATTTGTTATGCACAAACTTTTTATATTTAAGAAAGTTTTTAATTTAATTAATCACTCCTAATAGAATAGAGTTTCTCTGTTTCTGAAAGTTTATGCTGTGTACTGTGTCTATTAGAAATAATATTTCTTTTTTTTCCATTTGTCTGAATTTTTGTCTTACATCATTTTATTATTTAAAGTTTTTTATGATAATTTATTCAGTGTAAACTTCCAAAAGTAAAGAAGTATTTATTTTATTGCATTAATTAAAATTGAATTATTAGAAAATAATCATATAAAAAATCAAAAAGAATAATTTTTTAACTCATATAATACTTCTATGAATTTGTAAATAAACAATTCCACACATCTTTCTTTAGGAGTACAGAAAAATTCAAAAATGCCTTAATATTTTTAAGCTAAATACCTGATCAGTACAAAAAAAACTAAATTTAAACACATGAAATTTTGTGGATGTATTCAAATCTAGTTTTTGTGCTGCCTTTGAAGATGAGCTGTTTAACTCAAAAGTACTAAGGCATTTTTTGAATTTTTTTTGTACTTCTAAAGAAAGCAGTGCGGAATCAGATTTTTTAAAATATGTATTCCATTGATGTACCATTAATAACTTGCCAACTAAGCTATAATATATATATATATAATATATGCTGGTTTATCTTACAGAATTGTTATTTAAAGGTAATAAAATGCTTAAAAACAGCATCATATGAAAAAATACACGGTGAAAATTCCTATCCCCATGTGATTCATATTTAACTGTTATACTAGCATGTTTACTATAAATTAGATTTCTAAAGAAGCATTGAGCAGGACAGTGAATATGAAAATGAAAAATATTTTCAAATAATTGAACAATTAACAACCCAAATTTTATCATGAAATTTAAATTATTACATATTCTGAAGTAAACAATACATATTGTATTCTAATTAAAATTAAAAATTTCAAATCTAACTTTTTATTAATTTAAAGAAAATAGTTTTGTTTCATAAATAAGGAACACAATTTTCAGTTTCTTAAAGTAGTAAGAAAAATCAGTGTTATTAGAGCTTTCTCACATTGATTTAGAAACTGTTACTCAATTTAAATAATCTCCAATAAAACAGATTTTGTCAAGGATTTACCATTGTGTATGCAATAAAAATTAGGCCTATGTTAAAAGTTAGTTATTTGTCTTAAATTTAAATCTGTTTTAAATAATATTTAATATAATAAGGACGAAATAAAACTTGATGTTTTAAAAGTAAAAAGAGCAGGAAAAATTATTTTGAATTCTCTTCAAGAAATATTATGACTAGATGAACATAAGAAGGTTGTAAAGAGATACATACTCTTTTCTTAAAATGATGATAAAAATCTATCATCATCATCATCATCATTTATTACTTATTTTGGGAAATAGAACAATTAAAATAAAGAAAAAAACAGCAATTAGTTTAACTTTCTGTTTTCAAAAGCTTTATAAAGTAACATAATATGCACTTAAAAATGAATTTTTAAACAATTTCATCAAATAACATTCATAGTACAGTGGAACCCCGGTTAACGAACGTCCTGGTTAACGACCAAATCGGTTAACGAACTTTTATTTTGCAAAAATTTTGTCTCGGATAACGAACAAAATTCGGATAACGAACGTAACGGTATTTTGTGTCAAATTTTAGTTGGTGTTAGGCACGCGCGAGTTAAGCATTGCTTTTTCAAGTGTTTGTACTATACTTCTTTTTTCAGTTTTGTGATTTATATATTTAATCAATATGACATCCAAGAAAGAAAAAAGTCATAGTGGCAATAGAAAACGACAACGCAATATAAACGACAATGCGCTATCGCATTTGAGAAAAATTTTGATTAAAAGAGTAAGACAATCAACTTTAGATCAATTTCTTGTTCCTTACGGAAAGAGTTTGTTTGTTTGTTAAGTTACGGCAACGCAACACTTGGGCGATCTGCCTAGGGGGAATGCCTTCTGGGAGGTGTTTTTAAGGAAAACTGGCCTCTATTTAGGCGTTACAGACGTGGAGAAAACCCGGAAAACTCCATGTGGTCAGCCCATCTGAGCGAGGTGCGAACCCATGAACAAATTCCCCGTGTTCAAGATACGAAGACCACTTAGCCATTGGTGCATTTTTTTTACCGAAAGAGACTTCGACTCGAAGAATCTTCCGATGAAGTGCTACCCGTTATTTTTTTGGAGGGGATTCCCCTTCTAAGCATTAAGGTTCGTATATATCCACTTTTCTGCCACCAACTACAACAAACGAAGGTATGTACAGTGCTATTTTATTAAACAAAGTTTACATGTTTGTTGCTGTAATGATAGATACTACGTTTTCCTACATTTTCATCAAAGAAAATTACTGTATATCACAAATTAAATCACAAAAATTTCGGAGACTAGAACGGATTAATTGCATTTGCATTAATTTCTATGGGAAAAATTGCTTCGGTTAACGAACAATTCAGTTAACGAACGGAGTCGCGGAACGGATTAAGTTCGTTAACCGGGGTTCCACTGTATATAATATAGAAAAGTTGATTACTTCTTACCAAACCTAAAATGATGAAGACTAATATTGTAAACTTTGACAAATAAAAGATGATTTCTATAAAATTGGCAACAGTTGCATATTTTTTGTTCTTCAAACATAGCAAGTACAGTAAAACTTCTCTAACTCTTAAGCTCCAATGGTAGGAAAAGCTTTGAGTTACAGATGATTTGAGGTAGAGAAAAATAGAGTAAAAAATACTGATTCTGAATAGATTTCTATTATTTCTCTTGTATTATAAACAATCTTTGATACTTTTTTGTTTTAAACAGCTTGTGTAATGCCTTTCAGCAAAGTATTCAATGTAACTAATGGAATCAGACAGTTTTGCAGGTACATCTTGTTGAGAAGTGAAAGGCTTTATAGTAAACTTGGATAAAATGCAAAATGAAACATGAAATGTTTAAATTTCATAATTTGATTATAGCATTATTTTTTCTGTATTTAAATGGTATAAGTATTTTATAAAACATTAAGATAGTTAAGATGTTTTAAGAAGCACTATCCTTCATATCTTGCATTGTGGATTCTGTTGTTCAAGTTTGGAAATTATAAAAAGAGATTACTAAATATCTCACAGAATACTAACAGGTAAGGTGAACATAACAGAATAGAGTATTCTGCCTAAAAATGTAAGAAAAGAAAATCTGTGTAAAGTTTTTCCTGTACAAGCACTAGTGAATGAGCAGAATGCATGAAGAGTTACATTGTATAAAGATTTCAAGTACATTTGTCAAGAAAATCTGAATTTTCTCAATTAACATTTTTGCTGAAGATGACTTATGGATATTTCAAAATAATTCAGAAATAAAATAGAGAGCATGCAGTGTGAATTTTAAAAATCTTTATTAAAGTTCAAAAAGTTTTATATATAAAAATCCAGGATCAGTTGAGTCCACCATTTTTTCCAACAAACTGGGCGTGATCCAATCTGAAGAAAATAAAATCAATAGGGCTTTATATCTTGTAGATGTTTCAAAAATTATTGAAGTATATTTCCTACATAAAGCCACAGTTTCAAAAGAAAGATGCCTTCTTTTTGCTGAAGGATAATGTTCTCATCTAAATTTTTTACCAGTTAAATTTTTGTTTTTCAACATAAAAAGTATTCATAATGACAAGATATTTCAGAATATCAAAGATCAAAAGAAGTATATAAATTGCTAAATGAAATATTTTTCCTTTTAAACATTTTCACTGTCTCTTAAAAACTTTTAGAATGCTATAATTAAAGTATTCAGGTAGAGAGAGGTATCATTTAACTTTTTTCTCTTTATTTGTACTAGTGTAAAAATTTTATTGTCACCCTTTATACCAGTGTTTCTCAACGAGGGCGATATTGCATTGAGAAACACTGGTATAAAGGGTGACAATAAAATTTAATAATTTTTAAGTATAATAACAATTTATATTTTGTGGGGCGAAAAAAAATTTTTTGGGCGATATAGTAAAACATTATATTAAGAATAATTAGATATTTTATTCATTATATCGTACAATATTTAAACAAATAATGCTATACTAGTCACAAGTCTATTCAATGCAGTACGAATTTGGCATTAGCCTTGGCTCTTGGCATCGGAATTTTGAAGTGAAGAGGGTGATACTACATAACGGTTTTATTGAAGGGGAGGCGATGAACACTGCTTTATACCATATTTTTATGGAATGACTGGCATGCCAGTTTAAGTGAGGTTATGTATCTCTCTGTAGAGGACCCATTAAAAAAACAAGAGAGTTATGTAATGTAAAAATGAATGTGACTTTTTTCTAAAATTGTGAAACTGTCAGCATTGCATCAAAAACTGTAATTATACATTTAATTTCTTTATTTTGTCTTCTTTCTAATGACATAAAAACTTGTGGAATTCCAAAAGTGCTTTTTTTTATGTTTATTTTATGATAATACCATTGATATTTAATAAATTTAATTAAACATGTTAAATTTAAGAAACTGGCCCTAAATTATCTCAACTTACCTTTGTGTGAAATTTGAGAAGAAGGTGTTATTTTTAAGGTTGGGATAAATGGTCAGTGTAGCCCACACTGGCTATTTTTTTATTGTCTTGTAATTGAAAACTCTCTACCTGATTTTAAGTCAGTCAAATTAGAATATTATATTGTACTCTGAAGAATTTTTTAACATTTGTTTAACAATTAGTTTTGTTACATTTGATTAGTTTTTTTAGTCAGTTTAACTGGCATGCCAGTAATCTGCTGGTCTCCCTCATTTATACATGACATGCTGATCATTCTGCAAAAATACAGTATAACATAATATTATATTGAGACAAAGGTTACATTTGAGAATTGTTTGCATTTTCCATTATCATTATATCTAAAAATTTTTATTCATTTCTAAAATTATTTCAAAATTTTCAATTATTTATATTTTGACAAATTTTATAATTTCTTTATTTAACAAAATAATTTTCATTGATTTTATCATAAAATCAATGGAAATTATAAATAATATATCATTAAATATAAAATTATTTTGATGAATATGAAATGTTAGTTAATCAGTTATTATGTTATGTAAACTTTTATTTTTCAGATTCGTTTGTATCCTGAAGAAACAAAATTAGATAATCAGTTTGTTAGAGTTATCAAAGTATCAACACAGGTTCTTCAGTTATCTGTTCTTGGTGATCGTCTACTTAGTTTTTGTGCAGATTCTCATCTGACATTATATCATTTACAAAAAAAAGATTCATCTTCCAGTAAGTAATAAAATAGAATCTATTTACATTTTTCTTGTTGTTGGTAATTAATCTTGAAATTATAAATTGTAATTGAAAGAAATATAAAAATGATTATTTCTTAGATATTACCAAATAATATATATGTGGGGTTTAAACAAGTAACATTCCTAAACCTTTAAAACAATAAACTTACAAGGGTTGTGGGGGAGATGAGGAGAACAAGAGAGAGGGACGAGTAAGGGGAGAAGTGAGGGAAGACGACTGTTGGTGATGGCGGAAAGGGACAAAAGACAAACATTTATCATTCTACCAAGACAGTTATGAATGCTGGAAGATTATTGTCATTTCTTGTTCTTTATTTCTATCACTATTTCTACATATATAATAAGAAATTCTATTTAAAAGTAATTACTAAGAATTACAGAGAATAAAAATTGTATGAATTAAATTGGATTTTCTTTTTTAACAAAAATAGTTTATTTATCACTGAGTACATTTGAATTAAATAAATTGAATTATAACATTTTATACAAAATTATTTAGAAATATGATAAATATGTCATATACATTAAAATATTATTTTAGATTCAACTTTGCATATTGTTCGTCTACACGAGTTAGATGTTTCAAATTTAGTTGTTCATCCTGCCTGTGTTGTCTCTGCAATACTGACATCATTAAGAACTGAAATAGGTAATTATAAAACATTATTTTAAGTATTTAAAATATTTGATTGAAATATATATATATGTATAAATTATATTTAAAATAAATTATAAATATTCATATTGTATTGTGGCAAAGAAAACAATTTATATATACAGTATTTATTTAAATTATTGATCATACTGCCAATTACAGAAAGAAAATCTTAAGTCATGGCCAGCTTTCTTAACATTTGGTTTCAGAAATAAGCTTTCTACTAGAGTCTAACCTATTAATCAAAAACCATTGATAAAACTTATGAATTAGACTCTGTTAGAGTTATTGTCAAATGTATAACTTAGGACTAGTGATTATTACCTCCAGGGCCAAATTTAGCCTATGGACATATTTGACTTATTGCTTATAAATGATAAAAAAAATAAGACTATTTTCAGTGTGTGTGTATATATATACACTGTATATATATGTATGTATAGAATATGCAAAATTAGTCATTATTGATATGATAATGAATTTGGCTACTAGGTTTGTACTTGATTAATAAACTTGGCTGTAATCATATAAAAAGTATTAAGAATTAACTATGTTTCACATTGTAGACAATTGCAAAAACAACTGTTGCACAAAATTTCTTTTTAAACTTTCAGTGAACTTCTAAAAACAATAACATAAATCACTCTTTAACTGTAGGCTACAACTTACATTAAAATATGTAAAGAAGGATCTGTCCTCTCCTCTATCAGTGGTGTTACTTTAAAAATTCCAACAACAAAAGTTGATTACACTTTGTGTTTAAGAATAATTTGAAAAAATTTTTAATTATTACTGGCAGAAAGCACTTTTTTTTTTTTTTCATATTACATACTTTATTCAACATGCTATAGTTTGAACTTAATGCCAAATATTATATAACAGTAAATAAAGACATGCTTTACTTCCTCTTGCTTTATTCAAACAAAAATAAAGTATATGAGGATATTAGCATTTCTGCTAAAATTTTATTATCTGAACATGTAAAAAATAGAAAATATTTTTTTCTGTTTTGTCTACATTTATGTGTATTTTATACCTCTGTTTTTCTAGCTTAAATCAGAATTGATGAAGTTTCTTGTGGCAGTGGCATGTCATTTTTATGAACATTCTCCAATAAAATTTTTGCAAGTTAAAAATACACTTTTTCAGAAACAAAATGAAAGAAATATTTTTACTTTTACATAACCTCCCAAACATGTTTATATTACCCTTATCATAAAATTTTTTTAAGCTAAATATTTCAAAAATTGATATACATATAAGCAAAAATTAAATTTCTAAATTTTAAATAAATTTTATTTTTATGAATTGAACAAAAATTTCCAGACTGTTTTAAATTGCTAATTAAGTTTTTTCTATAAAAAAAAAGAGATTTCAGTGTGGAGCAGATTATATACAGTATATACATATTTGTATGCATATATAGATATATGTAGACATATAAATATAAATAGAGATTACGAAAACTGGTTTCGGATTATAAATTTTTATCACTTTGCAATCTAAAATAAACATTTTTTTTTTCTGTCAGACATTAGCTATTACATAGATACAGTCGACCCCCTATAACACGGGTTCCTATAGTTTGGATTCCTATATCATGGCGAAAAAATTGCGACAGTATTCATACAAACATGCTAAAAAACTCCTATAATTCAGTAAAACGTCATCGCCGACTTGTGTCGCGACAGGATTGCACAAACCATTGAGTTTAAACGAGCAGCAGACCTACTAAAAACCATTTATTATTTAACGTCCATAAAAATTATATTTATATTAATGATGTCTCCAAAGTTCAGC